TATATAATTTTTTTTTTTTTTAAAGTATTAAATCACTTTTCTCCCTCTTTTGTTTCCCCAGCATGTCCCATCTTCATTCTCTGCTTTACTGGCCCTACTCCAGCCACTGTGAAAAATCAATAGGAAATACTCCCTTTGAATATGACAAGATTCTCAGCCTGCAAAAGCTGCAGTCTGCTCTGGGCTAAGTTCTCAGGGCTCCACACAGATCAATGCAGTAGTGCAGATTTACACTGAGTGAGGATCCAGACTGTTAACCTTTCAGCCCTGGTGCCATAAAAAAAAAAGGAAACTTTGAAATACTTCCTACCCAAACTTTTCAAAGCAGACTTCCCACCCCCTTTGTTATACGCAAGTTTCCTTTTCTTTTTTTTTTTTTAAAGAAATTGTGACATTCTCTGTGTGGACTTGGACCTCCTGACAGCAAAGGACTGGCACCTTGCAATATATGGCAATTCGTAGCACATCTGAAATCCACACCATTCTCCAAAGCAAAAATCTTAAACAAGAGGCAAAAAGTAAAAGCATTGCTTGTTTTTAGTAACAGCTTTCAACAAAATATTGCTATCAAAAGTGCAAACGTGTTTTTTTGTGAAATTTGTTTAACAAATACAGGGTATGCTACTAAATAAGTGCAACCACCTTTTCTGAAAGGTGAAACACTTGCATCCCTCACCATAGTTATGGGGATCCCTGAAGGTAAATTCCATAACAAATCAGGCCAGAGAGATCATTAAAAAGAATCTTTCACAAGGATCATATTTCACTAGGAAAATTAGTGAAAAAGAGGAGGTGGTGATATCTACTGATATCTAATTCGTCTCTTAAAGCAAGCTAGCTGCCATTAAACTGTGAAAAAGGATGCATGAGACAAATGTCAATATTTCAGGGGGTGTTCTCTGATAGGCAATTTTCCTCAAGGAGGGCAAGAACACCCTCAAGGGTGGGATGTATCCATACAGCCCACCACTATGTCCCAAATACAGGCAATAGGAATTAATGTTTAGAAAGAGCACATGAGCCTGGTCAGGTTCTGCAGCCCCTTCTCCTGCTCCCCTGGCACCCACACCTGGTGGAAAAGGGATCTTAGAGGGCACATCCCTGCCTGGTTCTTTAGTGTCTGTTTATAGGCCTCCTGCCCATCAGATTGCTAATACAGCTTGAGCCTGTTGATACTGTCCTATCCACAAAGGCCCATGGCATTAAGTTCCAGGCATTCACACCCTGTTGTGTAGAGAAGCCTGCCTGTCTCAATGCTAACAATGCTAAGCTTCACAGCCAAATCTGCTGTGTGAATCACCACTGTAGGCACAGCTCAACCTCCTGTGGCCCCTCTCTGCTCCCCACAGTTCCACATCCAGACCTCCCTTGAATATCCGCATGCTTTTGCTTCCACGGAGCTACCATAACAACTCTGGAGGAGCTTATTCTGGCAGCTCATTCACACACGCTTACCTGTTGAAAATACTTTGTGAAGAAGTCCTCCCAAATCTTGCCTTCATACCTATCGACAATTTCCTTTGAGATGTTAAAAATAAAGAAAGAAAACATTAACTCAAGCAAGAAAAATAATGACAGAGTTACTGAAGATGCTCTCCTTGCACGGCATTCTTGTCCCCTGCCCTTCCACCTTCTCCCCACCACTGCAATCACTAGTGCAGCCCACTGCTAGGACAGCTCTCCACCTCATAGAAATGCTTTTTCTTGTAAGGAAATAACACTCAGGAGGGACAAATGTTTCCCCACCACCAAACTGTGAAACAACAAAGGATGGAGTTCACTCCATGCCAAGAAGAGAGAGAAGGGTCTCTGTCCTCCCTTATACAGGAGAGCAGAGGAGATGAAAGAAGGATTGGCCCTATTTATGCCAGGGCAACAGGCTACACTGTCCCTGGCACAAGTTGCAGGTGTGCATGCACAGCCATTGAGCTCAATTATTTTGAAAATAACCTATAGACCAGTGCATGGGAACAGTATAGGTCCCATGATGTCTTCAAAACTTTCAAGGAATGAAGGGAGCAGGAAGAAGTGCAAAATGGACCAGGAATCTCCAAAAAGACATGAATAGGAAAGACCGCAGAGCAAGTAAGATGGTGTCACCACAATAAGTTCATAGAAATGCAACTAACAAAAGGTGTCAAAAAATTTGCCAGTCCCACACACTTGACCACATCTGTCCACATGGTCCAAGGGATTCTGCCTGTAAACCCAGGCTGCCCTTTGAAACATGCTGCAACCAAAGCACTCACACCTCACTCAGCCTCTCCTTAGGGCAAAGTAACAGGAAAAAAACAACATTCAGAGCTGAGGACCAAACCACAGAGCTCCCACTCCCCTCACTCTCACCTTCGAAAGGGTGAAACTGGTGTTCCCACCCATTTCCCTGGAGATAAAAAAAAACAGACACATTCAGGAGGTATCCCAGAGTTTTGTGTTTGTCTCATCTAAGGTTGCATTCTCCAGCCCCAGATGGGGCCCCAACTCACTGTTTCAGCGTTTGGCTTCTTTTTTCCCTGTAGTGTTACAGCCACAGATAAGAGAAGCTCTCATATCTGAACAGCTTCCTAGGGGCTGCTCGCATCTGAAATCTCCACCATTTCTGCAGAAGCAACCATCCCAGCACTGCCAGAAGGGTCTCCTGGCAAACTGATGGTGCATTAAAAACTGTTGTCCTTCTCCACAATCTCAATCATGAGCATGGTGCAAGAATCCCATAAGTGGGCCTACTTCAACACTTCTTGAAAGGATAAGGCCAAAAGCAGTGCTTCAGCCACTGAGAATCCTAAAGTGGGAGAAACCCACAGACAGCCTCTCCAAGTGAGACAGTGCTGCTTTTTACAGAGCGAAGTCTTTATAGACTATACCCCATTAGACTAGAAACACCATCCCATCCCAGAGAATTATGTGCTGGCTGGCAGAGGGGCAGCAGAATCTCACCTAAGAACATGCTTCCTGGAGAAGACCCGCAGGATGAATTCAGACTCCTGCTGAGGCTCCAGGGTGGATGGGACAATCACATAGACACCAGGCTCCAGGTGGAAGTCTTGAGTCACTTCCCGCTCATCAAGGAAGACCTGGTGCTTGTTCACAGGCTGATGTTGGGCGAAGAATGCTGGGGGCAGCTTTCTGTTGCTTTCCTGGTACTGTTAAGGAAAGAAAGAGAAATGTGTTCTGCACCCCCTGCACAAACAGACAAAAGGCATATGGAGACTTCACAGGCATGGCATAGACAGCCTGCTTTCACACCTCAAGATTTTTTTTACAGCACATGTAGATAATAGGTCCCAAAGGACTCAGTCTCCTCCCAGGATGTGGTGGTTCTCATTGTGCGTTGCCCCTGCCCAGTAATAACATGGCAAAGAATGGGGCTTTCTGCAGCTTTATCAACAATATAGTAGTATTTTTAAGGAACAGCAGCAAGGACTGGGGAGGAGCAGTGGCTACTGCAAAGGTCATTTCCATACTGGCAGCAATGGCTGCAGGCAGGAACTGCTCCAGAGACTGCTCTTTTCTAGCCAGGACATCTCTGTTATCCCATAAGTACCACATGCTTTGTTCTCAGCTTGCCCTTTGCACTAGGGATCTGATAGCAGAGGAGTTTTCAGAGCACCAGTGATCCAAGCATGCGGCAGGAGCAACCTAGCCCCTAGCCCTGACTCCGTGCATCTGTCCTTGATGTGACTGGCACTCCTGGCTCTTACAGATGTTTTGCTCTGCAGGCACTTTTCTGCAATAGGAAGATGGATAAAGTGTTGATCCAGGCAACACTGAACTCATTTTTAATGCCACTGAGTGCCCAGTAAACAAGCCAAATAAATAATCCTGCTAGCTTAAACCACTGTCACCTTCCGATCTTGGCTGTTCCTCAAAATATTTAGCCATTTTACTCCACAGCCTCACAGTGGAGATGCTATTCCTCTTTCTTTGCCAATATTTTTCTTACTAATAGAGCAATCTTTCTTCTGAAGGGTTCAGGGTTACTCCTTCTCATGCCCCTTATGTTAAATTCAAAGTTTTTATATTCCGGTCAATACTTTGTTGACGGCAGTTCCAATACCTTAGATGCTCTTGGCTTGCCACCTCTCTGTATTGATCTTGGCAACCACTACAAACCTGAAATTAAAGTCCTGGCTGCCACCATTCCCCCTCAGGTGCAGCACAGCAGTGTGCTAGGGCTACACTCGGATGTTCTCTGCCGCGAAGTTTAATTCACTTCTAACCCTGATAGCACCCAAAAGATTTAAGTGGGGAAGGAGTGGTATCTTACCTCATGGTTATCATGCTGGTAACAGAGTGTCTGTGAACATAACTGTGCTGCCATGACCACACACCCAAACTAGTTCTTTGCCAGCCCAAATTCAAAATGACTCTCTTTTAAGAGGTGTTCTGAGTAGTAACGAAGTGGGAAATAAGCCCTTTCAAAATAAAAGATAAACCTTTCCCTGTTCTAAATAGCCCTCTGAGATCAGGGCCAAAATTGGGACTTACATCAGGGTTTAACTTAAACCTTCCTCAGGTCCCAAAGGTTCTGGGCTAAAGAAAGTGCTAGAAATACAGCTGGCCCAAGGAAGCTGACAACACCTGTAGCATCAATTCCAGAGTATCCCCAGACAGGAAGGAATCTGAGCTCCACAGGAGACCCTCAACTTGAATGGGATGCAGGCTCTGTTCCCACTTCATTCCAAGACTGGGAGGCAGCAGAAAGGTAGGTCTGGCTCCTGCAGCAAGTCCAGCTTAGAAATGGCCAAGAATTGGGCCACCATGCAACAGCTGCAGCAGGGACAAAGTGATAATCGAGTAAACAGTGATGCCACTTCTAATACCTTTGAAGACCCAGTGCAGAAGCTGGACAATTCATGCCCCTTTTTAAGGCCACTGAGCCCTCCTGATAGAAGAGGTGGATAGCTCTGCTATGTGACATGCTGTGGTGCATTACTGAAATCAAATACACTCTTATTAGCTGTCAGCCAAGGAACAAAGGCAAGCACATCCTCAGTCTTGTACCAGCTGCACCAGCCCAGGTTCCCCAGCAAAGAGCCAGCAGTGGTGGCAAGGGACTCACCTGTAGGTGCACCTGCAGGAAGAAAAGAAACAGAGCATCTGTCAGACAGGGACCTCTGGGTCTCACCCAGCACAGCCATATCATTGCTGGGAAGCAGCTATGTACGTCCAGCTGGGCTCTCTGTCTTCAGAAACCTCAGCCCCTCCACCTGAAAACCCTTCACAGCCATCTCTCCATAACTGCAAACTCACAACAGCAACAAGAGCTGTGCCTCTGTTCAAGGGAGGAGAGTAGCTCTGCAAAGCACTCAGATAAACAGAAAATTGAGAGGTGCAAACTCTCACTCCTTCTAGCAATATCCATTTCCCCTGGATACACAGGGAACTAGCAGTACTCACACATGGGCAGCTGCCACGTCATACTAGGGATAAGCCTCAAGCACAACTTTACCAAAGTTGGAAATAACCTGAAGGCAGCACTCTCCCTGCCCCAAAGTAGGGGGACTCCTGGCACTCTCTCCCAGCTCTTCCAATTACTCTCAGAAAGGTCAAAATAAAGCCCAGTGTGCTCTGAAGCAAGAGGCATTTCTCACCCCTCTGCAGGCTGACACACAGCACACCAGAGAGGCGGCAAGTGGGGCACGGAGCCTGAGTAAGCCTGGCCTCGGAGTGTGAGGAGATTTGGCACAGGCAAGGAGGAAAAAAAAGCACAAATTACCCTGTGCACAACAAAACTCTTGGTCTGCAAAGGCCTACAATTTACAGGGGTTGGAAGTTTTCCTATTCGGTGAGAGCATTGAAAGGCAAAGCAATTCTTCACACCTTGTAGAGTGAAAATCCAATGAAGAGGTGAGGAGCTCGGTTGCGGTGTTTGCTGCTGTGCTTCTGCATCAGGGATATAACCACGTTGCAGGAACTCAGCCTTTTCTTACTGTCTTCCACTGGTAAAACGTGCAGCCAGTACTGAGGGTTCATCCAAAAGTTGCCTAGGCAAAACAAGAAAAATATGTTTATGTCATTTCTTATCATAAAATTGGTTGCTAGCTTCCCACATGATGCTGGATATCAGACTGAACAAGTGGCAGGTTGTCTGGACCTCCAGGCCCCACAGGGATTTGGTCTCAGGGTGCAGCTTCTGAGTGTATCAGCACCATCACTATGTAAGACAGGAGGAAGGCCCAGGAACAAGGAACTATGTTTCCATTTAACTGCAGCTAAGGTGGTTGGTAGAAACTAAGGTCTCATTTTGTTTCTAAATGCATTACTATTCCTCTGTCACCTCCAGTGTATGGATTAGCTGACTTCAGACCCACCTGCTCTGCTTCCAAAAGGGCTGAGCCTCTGCATTTCCTATTCACTTTACTTCAAATACTACTCCCTGAAGGTGCTGAGGATGCAAATTTTAACAGACAAGAATAATGCCCCAGAGAAGCTCGGTGTTGGCAATTGATCCTAGGATCCAGCAACTCATTTCATGCCATAACCAGGCCACTGCTCTATGTTTGTGAGTGATGCAGCTTCTGTGATAGCAGAAGCTAGCCAAAGTCCTTCAGCTGCTTATTTCTGATGTTTGTGTGGAGGGCTAAGCAGGAAGAGCATGTTTCTGCTGTCAATTTTGTATGAACATGTATATGGTGCTGGTAACAGAGCCAACAGAGCAATGTTACCCCAGAGTCATCACAAAGAGCACCCCTCACCATTAGAGAGTCTCAGACTTCCTCCTGCTGTACTTCCTTTAACCCATCTTCCACTCTTCAGGGAGTACATCCACTTCTCCCCATCTTCCTGGCTCATCAAGTCTGGAGTTAATTTACAGATTATCAGATCTACAAAATGAATCTTAAAATCTCGCAGAGACATCCTGGGAAAAGAGTGCCAAGAGATATCTTGTCAGCAGTTTAGTTTAGTCCATATGGCTTACAAAAAGAAAAGGAAAGGGAGCAGGGAACTTCGAAGCTCCACCAGTCTGTGTTACATATGGTAATGCTCATATTTTATGAGGCAGTAAAGAACAGAGCGTCTGCTCCAACAGCAGCATCCAGCAGTAGCAAATGCACGAATAAAATTTCAGCAAAGGATAGCAGCACCGAGATTGAAATAATATTGCCACCAAAGGGACCGCAGTGAAAAGACACGGGCGACAACATTGCCACCTCGTGGCAGGAGCTGTGGAGAAACCACAAACAATCAGAATCGTTTTGGTTGGAAGAGACCTTCAAGATCATCAAGTCCAGCCGTCAGTCAACCCAGCACTGCCAGGTCACCACTAAATCATGTCCCTAAGCACCACATCTTTTAAATGCCTCCATGAAGGGCGACTCCACCACCTCCCTGGGCAGCCTCTTCTAATACTGAACTACCCTTTCAGTGAATAAATTTTTCCTAATACCCAACCTAAACTTCCCCTGGCCCAACTTGAGGCTGTTTCTTTTTGTCCTAACACTTGTTACTTGGGAGAAGAGACTGACCACCACCTTGCTGCAAATTCCTTTCAGGTAGCTGTGGAGAGTGGTATGGTCTCACCTGAGCCTCCTTTTCTTCAGGCTGAACAACCTAAGGCAAGCAAGATCTCCCAAAGATATCTTAAAAAAAAAAAAAAAAAAAAAAAGGCAGGACAAAAGCTGCCCATGTCTCCAGCAGTCCTGGGAGACCTGGCAGTGTCCTGCACCTCCCTCACTCCTGCTACTGAGGAACAGTGCATCTCTTCCATGTCAGCACAGCTACTGCTGCTCACATCATCAAGCAGAGGAGGAGAGCGAGAAAGGAAACATGGGCTGCTACTGAGCAGATCACATATGCCTTGACCTAAGTGGCAACATGCTGATTCATTTCCAGACACAGCCCCAGAGCTACTGGCAGAGAGAGGAGAGGCAAGAATGTACCATTACCAAAATTCTCCATCCTCCTTCTTTTTCCTCAGCAAAATCTTCTCCTTTGGGCTCAGCAGCTCCCATTTGTAAGAGCTGAGGGCAAAAACATGAGGTGATTAACCAAATGTGGCCTCAGTTTCAAGGCAGAGTTTGTAGCTTTCCTCTATGAAAAGAAGGTAAATCCTTGTCCCATTTCACCAAACACAGGCACCCTATGCCTTCAGCCACAGGAGACTCTGCACAAGCACTCTGGGTCCTATCAGATGTAGCTAAATGGCTCCAGTTTCCCTCAGCAGAAGCCAGAAATGCTCCAGTTCCATAAGCCTGTCCACTCACTCACACACATAACTTCCAAGTACTTAAAATATAAAAATACAGACCTGTTTTGTTGGTTAATTTTCTGTCAAAGGAGACATAATAGGAAGAGTGTTTGGCATAATGAATGAATGACTAGGACAGCAGAAGAGGCAGCTGGGAGCCATTTAAAAGGCAGGCCTGCAGTATGTTCCTCATTATGCTGTTCAACAGGAACAGCTGCTATGTTGTCATTATGTGACAGACACGCATCAGAGAAGTTACTCTCTGCAGACAAGGTGAAAGTCATTCATGCTCCCAACACCTCCATGTGCTCTTCCCTCCTCCCTGCCCCAGGGCCTCAGCAAGCAGAGTCCGTGCAGGGAATGAAGTGAAGCTTGGAAGGAAGGAACATGCTCCACTTCAAAGAGGAACAGGACACAAGTCTACAATTGCCTGTGTTCTAGGTTGGAAACCACTGTCTGTTGCCTCACTGGCTGCTTCCTCTGATTTCATACCCAGTTGTATTTCCTCCAACAGCCAGGACAGTGGACTCCTTTGCAGCCACCCAACTCCAACACTTTGCAGCCCATAGAGAACTCTGCATGGTCCCTCTGGTGTCCTGAAATATGCTGTTTGTTTAGAGCCTCCTGCACAGCTATCTGTCGCTTTGCACACCATCCAGATCACAGCAACATGGGCAGCATCTGGTGTTCATATTATGTTTCCTCTGGCATTCCGTGAATGGCAAAGCAGAACTGAGCTTGTTGAAGCTGCATGTGTGAAGTGAGCCCAACTGTGTGAGCACTATCTGCTGGAGAAATACAAATCTATCGAGTCATTGCTTTGACACCAGAGGGTCTGTGCAAGCAACTGTTACTTAATGCTGTTCTCAGCACTAACTCATGCCTGAAGATGGCAGCATCTTTCCTCCCAAGAAACCTTTCCTCCCACTCAGCAACAGAACTCTTTTTTTAAACTCACCTGTCACTCCAGTCTCCTTTCCATTCAATTTTTCCCCATGGATTTCTCAGTCTCACTAGGTTTTCTGGTCCATCTTGGCAGGTCACCTGCAGAAAACGGTAACACTGTGCTTACCAAGGTGTCAGTGGTTCTCACCTTGTTTATATCATTCTACTATGTGAGATACTAATAAAGATCTTGTTTGTTCTCATAGATGCCAGAAAGTATGATGATGAACATGCAACTCTGAAAGGAGGCACAAAGAGATTAAGATGTTTTATCTTGCCCTCTATAACTGAAACCAGAGTCCTCACAAATTCCTAATTTGGAGGTTTGACCATAAAGTCTTCTTCCTTCCCAACATCTGCTCATTTTGCACTTAAGTGGAGTCAGGACTGTACTACTGTGAAAACTGAGTCTTACCCCAGTGCAATACCACAGTGCAGCCCACGGAGAGACCACATAGATTAGTGTCTTCTGAAGTGGGATGTCATGGTGGGAGAAGAGGGAGCCAAGGGCAACCAGGGGCTTTGCTGGCAACAACAGCAGAACTGCTGACTTCACATTGCCTCCACACCCTCAGTCAGTCCTCTACCCCTGCCTGGCTCTTCATCCCATCAGACTGACAAACATGTGTGTGGGGAACATAGGTGTGCATCATCCAGCTCATAGTATCTCCTCCAGCTTTCCTAGTATCTGTTGCTAGAGGTACTGAACATGCTTTCACCTACATCTATATCACGTGTCAAAAGCCCCACAAAGTCCTGTGCCATACTTGTCAACCTCCTTTTGAGGTTGGACAAGATAGTTGCACATCAATCCAGGTGGAGAAAGCTTAAGCTTTCTCCCACTCTTTGGGAGTGGGACCTTACCTCTAGACAAATACCTTTAGGGGTACTGTGCAGGCTACTTCTGCAGATCAGTGTGATCCACCTGGTACTCTCTGCACAGGAGCACTGTTTGGTCCCCTTATTTTAGCCTCGACTCACATTTCCACCTGCAGTTTTTTGTGTTTTGTTCCTTGTACCCAATTATCTTTACTTCTCTTTGGCCTCTCCTTTGACTTAGAAGGCGGCTTTTTACCCCAAGTAGGTTTCAGCACATCCTTCCAGCATTCCCAGTGCCAGTCCTTTGGTCCTTAATAGCTAAGATGCATTTGTAGGTAACACTCTCAACAGAGCCCTGTGAATCATTCCCACCCTTAGAGAGATGCTGATCTATAACCATTGTCCTTTACATTCAAGGTCACAATACTAAAATGGACACAATTGAAAGTGAATCTTTATAAAGCACACAGTCTCTTCTAGCCTCAGACTAAGAGAAGAGCACTGTGGGAGGACATGCCACAGTTGCCCCACTTAACGGTTGAACCTATGACTGCAACAAAACTTGTTGACATCCAAACAAACCTGGATGCAGGACATCAGGGCCAGTCTTACCTTTCTAATACCAGTTACTGTGTAGGCATGGCCAGCAACAAGCCCGTTCTTCAGGACCTTTGTTGTCTGTAAACAAGGAAGAGACACAGAAGGGAAAACCTTTTAGTCTCTCCCAACTTACACAGCAGACTCATACCAATAGCACAGACCTGTACCTGTGTAATCAATGATTCACAAAGCAAAAGGAAAATGGTTTGAACTGAAAAAAAAGAGAATAAATTTAAGTCTAAGCTCCTAGCAGCCATATTTCGCAGTATGGAAAATATGGAAAATTTGGAATTGGAAAGTTGATTGGAAAGGTCCCTTCCTAAATTGTGGATCTATGGGTAGGCACCATCTCACTGTTAAAAAAATCCAGGTGGTTAGATTTTGCTTTTCAGGATAGCAGCTGTCCCAACAGCTGAAGTGTTAGCATAAAGCTTGGAAGCCAAGATTTGAATTCATGTTTTGAACTACACACCTCTCTATCTTTCCTTATTTCATAAGTGTCTGCCTCATTGCACCATCTGTAGAAGTGGAAAAATTCTTTAACAAAAACAGGAAAATGCAGTAGGTCCTTATTTAATGGATGTTCTTTGATAGATAAATCAGTTCCTAAACATAACAACAGAGATCTGAGAGCACCAGGGAAATGATCCATGTTCAAACTTTAACATTAAGAACATAATTTCTACAGAAAGTTGTGTGTGGCAGCTTTGATGGTCTTTGAGTCTCAATGACTAGCTGAGCAGTGGGAAACAGGTCTGGAGATGTTTTTAGCTGTGAAGCCATTTAATGTCACTCTGAGTCTCACCCCTAAATGTGTCTGACAGCCCATGAGAGATCTGCTGTAGGTTGCTCTTGTCAGGATATCCCACAGATCAGGAGGAGCTGCTGCAAGCTTGATCCTTATATTAACACCACCTGTAAAATCCACCAAGGCTTCTGAAACTTGCCCAATCTGCAGATCTTCATAGGAGCCATAGAGTCTAGCAAAAAAAAGACATCAATATATTCTTGGGGTTATAGTCACAGAAGAAAGGTTGAGGAAGGCTGTAACTCATGTTTATATTAGAGGAATCTTTCTCACTTAGGAAGAGAGGAATCTAACACACTGCCTCCAAGAATGGCCATAGTCTGAAAGGGACTCTTCACTATCATCCCTCACTGCACAATAGTGAGAACATGACCATCACTACTTCTTTGATAGCTCTGCCTTAGAGAATGTTGCCTGACTGTATCACCAGACACTGATACAATGCTGTGAGAGTTCAGTCACCAGTCTGATTTTCTTCACCACTACAGAGCAACTTTCTCTACTCTAGCTGTTCTAATGATAACTCCAAATAGAAATAACTGAACTTCTCTCCTTTGCCGTGATCTTCTTCTCACTGTTAATTAGGATTTTGCTTTGCTCTGCAGAGATTATTTCAGTCCCAAATTAACAAACTCCATAATTTATGCCTTGTTGCTTTCTTCTTTGTCCTGATAAACCACTCTAGACAAAACACCCCAGAGAGAAGCTGGTATTCTCGCCACTCTCAACAAGTCACTTGTTGAATCTCTCAGCTTTGGAGAACCACAAAGCAGGATCTCCTCCCAAAAACAAAGTACAATTCTTCAGCAGACCCCCAAGGTCAAACTCATTGGAGGTTTCTCAAATAGATAATACATCAAAGGAGGCATCAGAAATCATTCACCTTTGAAAAAATCCCTATCTGTGGCCTTCTGCTCATCTGCAGTATTTACAACGAAGGCATCATCCTAGTCAATGCGTACCAAACAATGACAACACTCAGAGGACAACTCCCCAGGATAGGTCTGTTTTCACACCTACTCCTAAACCCTTGCATTTAAACTCAAGGGCCTGGACTTATAACAGCTACTGTAGTGGCAGCTTTCACTGTGTAATAATAGAAAGAGGAGAACCATTTACTACACTCCAAATATGGCAAGGCCTAGGAGATGCATTTATAAACAAGAACAAACTGTGTAGGCACCAACCAACATATTTTAGAGAGACTATTTGCATAACTTGGAATGAGTCACTTACTTAGCATATGCCTTCTCCAGAAGGGCTCCCCAGAACACGTTCTTATAGACTGAGGAAACAAAGACCAGCTCCCCTGCCTCATTCACCGGCAGGCGATCATCAACCACCACGTCAACCCAGTCCCCGAAGTGCCAGAACTGTCAGGAGAAAGGAATGAGCTGATGTTTCCCTGGGAAGGGACCTCCCCTTGACACAACAGGAAAGGCAAGATAGCTGAGCTGTGGGCACAGGACTAGCTGTCTTGGGGGGAGGGCTGCTTTGGGTCCGTGAGATGTGCTGACTCACCCACAAAGCCAACTCCTCAGCCCCACCCTGCCAGAAGAAGACACAAAGCATACATCAGGTGTAAAAGGATTAGGCACAGAAATTAGGCAGAGCTGGGCTACTGGGGAAGGATTTCCTAGTGGCAAGGGGGAAGAGGGGTAGAAAGAGGAGCAGATGTGCTCTAGCCCTGCTGACTGTTGTCACTATGGAGGAAGGCCTTTGGCTGAAAACACGGGTAGGGCACAGCTGGAGAGAAGGGCCAAGCGGAGGTACATCCTCGGAGTGGCTGGCAGCTCATCCACTGCCTGCACCGCTTTGTGGGAGGGGTGATGGGCTGCTCTCCAGGCTGGGGTACCCTCTGGCCACCGGCCCCTGGCCAAGGGGAACCCCCTGCAAATTATCTAAGGGTGGGACACAAAACCTGACAGACGACTTCTGAAGACTCTGGGGGAGCAGATGTACCCGGAAGTGGAAAATGCCAGCATATTTCCTCTCAAAGCTCTGGTTTTGTGGCACGACTGCAGCCAAGATGTCCTGGTGGAACGTCAGGGCTTCCAGGGCCGCCAGGAACCAGCAGTTCCCTGCGCCAAGACAAACGGACACATGCAGTTGGCTGAAAAGCAAGAGTTGTCAGCCAGGTTCAGGAACAGCACCAAGATCCCAGCAGAAGAACTGTTGTGCCGATGTCTTTACAATTATAACAAATCATATACAGAAAATGAGATGATCCAGACATGTGCTTTATTTAACTAAACCATGATTCATTTATAATTGTTCTCTTACGATCTTTTCATTTGGATACTGTTTGGTTAAACAAGAAATTTAGCAAGAAATAGCTCTCAATGGAAACATTGCAGTTTTTACTGACATTACATGGGATTTTTTTCTGTTCTCTGTCAAGGCACACCATAAAACAAAAAACTTCTCCCTTTTTCTTTGAAAACAGCTTTTCAGAAGAGAAATATAATTTCCAATGGATTTCACATAAAAGAATGTACTTATCAGAGTTAGTGTTTGAGACCTTAAGACACTTATAAATTAACTTAGTCCTGCCCCTACCTGTTTTGCAGATGGCAATATATCCTTTTATTTTAGGTAACATGGGCATAAAAATGATTTTTTTAACTGCAAAGCTGGGAGGAGAACACACTCACACTAAGCCTTAGGCACAAAAATAGCAAAACTCTCAGGTTTTCCTGCTGCTGTGGTTTCTGTTCTATTGTCAAGCAGCAACATTACAGACCAGTTAGAGCACAGGATCACCTCCTGTTGCAGTATTAACACGCACAGAAGCAACACGGAGAGTGGTGATGTCTCGCACCTCTCAAATCCCGCCTTGAAGCTTGCCAGGTTTTTTACTGAGCCTATCCCATCTTAATGATTGCTTTATCCACACCATGCCAAGTGAAGTGATGGGGATACCTACACCTTCTGTTCCTATGCCAAGTTTCATACAGTCAAAATTCCACACAGAATGTTATTTTGTATAAGAATGCTTCGGTATTTATTCAAAGGAGCTTCCTTACCCACCAGTCCTTGGCAGAGATCAAGTTGCTTTCTGTTTGCAGCATAAAATACTGGGCTTCTGTGCAAAGCCTGGGAAGCACACAACAACAACAACAACAACAAAAGAGGCAGAGAGTTAAGTCAGTAACATAAGCTGGTTTAGCTTGAAGTCAAGAACTTTCTACATGCAGGGCTGCAATCTCATAAAATGGGAAATCCAGTGAGTTCCTAGTCTAGGACATAAAACCCTCATGGATATGTGACACAAAACACTCCTCCTGCCTGTTCAAAGCTTTCAAAACTCTTCAGGCCTTTTGTCCCAGCAGGCATTGTTCTGGTTCAGACATAACTCCAGTGCTATGGTGCGCTCTGGTCAACCTGACACAAGCCTGGGCACACATTTGTGTTTGGTCTACACTGACTTCGGTCTCTGACATAAGCCATCAGGGCTCAGATGCATCACCATGGGTCTCCGTGAACACCTAGCTGAGAAGACAACCCTTCAGACCTGCTAGCCCTGCTCCTCTGTCATTACTGACAACTTTCAGCCAAAAGTGGCTACAATGGCAGAGCATAACCGTTCAAACATTTAGCTAACCTGGCTGAGGTCTCCACAATTTGACTGTCAGTTGAGCTAGAGACTAACTGATGGCTGCTGCAGAAGTTCCTGTTGAGGTGACAAGAGTGGGTCTGTAAATAACTGTTCAGAAAGAAATGATATTATTTTTTCCTCTCATGAGTGCCTCTGGGGTCAAATTAATAACCTAAGTGCCAAACTGACGTTTCACTCTAATGACCCACAAGTTGCTCAGGCTCAGTTTCACACTGCTGGCTTCCCCTGCCGGCAGTAACAAACAGCAAGCCCTCAGAAGGCACTTACAGCAGTTAGGCACCAACTCCTACCCTTCAGGAGTTTGGGTCTTCTAATCGCAGGCATCAGTCCCAGATGCAGCAAGCTGCACGCCTGCCGGCTGAACAGCAGACTCTCAGCACTTCTGCTTCATGGGGCAGTTTTAGAGCAGCAGGATAGTGGACTGAGAGACAGAGGAGGTCTCAAGTCCATTCCCGTATCCCTGGGGTGGAGGGACACCTCAAGGGCTTTGTAGAGGCCAGGACTCATGTTGATCTTTCCCTCCCAAATACCTTTATGCTGATATAGCTGCTTTAGCCACACTGCCTGGCACAACCCAGCACAGGCCCCTGAGGACCACACTCTTCCTCCACCTGCAGATCCTGATCTAACACAAACCATCTGTGAGACCAAATTACTTATGAAACTCTGATAGCTAGGGCTACTATTCCCAAGCTCTCCTGCTCACTTTGCTCAGGTACCTCTACTTCCTGGTGATTTTCCTATGTTCTGCAGAAACTCAGCCCTTCTACAAAATTGGTTAAATATGACAAAATATGACAGCTAGAAAATAACTTAGCTAGGAGATGCTGTCTGCTGTGACCTAGCAGAATTCCCTTACAGACACAGGAAGATAAGGACTCAGTGCTGCTGAAATTCTCAGCTAATTCTGTACATTACTTTCAGGAAGTTCTGACTGTCAATACACAGCTCGGCAAGAACAGAACTGCCCTTGCTAGTAACAGCCCTTAAGTAACTGTGCCCAGCCCCTGTTCTGGCCTCCTAGACTTGTTATCCATCCATTTGTTGTGAGAACTTGCTCAATGACCTGTCTTTGAAGCCAGGAGTCTCTTGTGATGTTCAGCTTAAGCATGGGATACCAGCAAAGGCCTTGAAAATACAGGCACAAATGGAACACAGAGGCCCCCAGAACTAAAAACAACTGACTGATGGCCAGTGATCGTGGTAGAAGCTCAAAGTTGAGAGCTGGGAAAAGGCTGCTCAGAGCACAATAGACTAAACAGTCAAGCAGGAAAAAAACAGCCCAACAAGAGGATAAGGCACCTGCCACTGCCTGTGAAAGTAGCTGCCTCCAGCATCACAAATATGTGGTCCACAGGAGAGGAGTCAAAAGCTAATAACTGTCTAGAAACGTAGACATCTTCTAAAAGGTCAAAATCTTAAATTCTGGGAGAGGGACCATCGCCCTGAGAACTGTCATAACAGAATCACAGTGGGATATGGGATCACTGGAGCTGTGAGCTCCAAGGCCAACAGCTCCTCTTGTTCCCTTCACCTGCTCTCCCTGCCTGCTCTGAGAAGTGCTGGATATCAAGTGAATAAGGCTGGTTATGATTTTGGGCAACAAATTCTTCAAAGGCAATTGTGAAATTCCATGTATCCCAGCTTCCTAAATGACAGCTGATACAAAAAGTGTAACTCTAGTGGCAGTAAAAAAACACCTTAATTAAGGTCTAAGAGTAATCTGCTCAGTGCTAAAACTATTTGCTTGCTATCAGCTGTAACCATCCTCTTATACTAGAGCATTCACTGAAAGTCACTTACATGAGGCCTCTTCCACTGTAAATTTTGAGGCAGTCTCTTTAGCAGTGCTCCTGTTCCAATAGAGCTGATGTGAGCAGGGAAGCTGTCATCTGTGAAGAGGCATTTGTTCTTCAAGCATGTCTCCAGCAAGGCTTGGTAGTTCTGCTGAATGGGTGGGGTGTGTTTTTGAAAAACAGTCCTTCCTAAGGGCACGGGTGACTTGTTTTTTTTCAAACATGGCAGAAAAGACATGGTGATGTCCACCTTAATGCCAGGATTTATTTTTTCCACTGAGGATCCTGCAGGGATCTCTCCCTGCACACTTCTGCTGGAAGCTCCTTGTTTCTCAGAATGAGGTGTGTCTTCTTCAGAAGAATTCCTTCAAATAAGAATTCATTAATATAAATGTAAAATTTAGTAATGGCTTTTGGAATTTCTTCTTTAGCTAGGGGGGAGGTGTGGGAGGGTGGGACACCCAGAAGAAGGAGGGGACCCATCTGATTCTGATCTACCATCTATCACTGCATTTCAAGGCTTTTCATTTGCTTTAAATCTGAGCAAAATCAAAATTAGCAACCCCACTGACTTTTACTGGGGCTTTGAAGCCACAGACACAGCTATTCTCAAGTTTCCCTCTGGACTGTTTAGGCTCTTCAGGATATTTTCATAATGTGCTGCAACATGAATCACAGTCTTTATTCAATCACATTCTGGCATGTGGACATTTCCCCACCCCCTTCCCCCCTCCAAAAAAAAGGAAAATAGCAAGATAAGCCAAAGGCTAACAGAAAAAAGGAATACAATAGGTGTTACAAAGCTATTACACACAAACCCCCCAAAGGTTGTTCTGCCCTTTTTTCCTCATTTTGGAGAGCTACACAATCTCCCCCAGGAGCTCACATTCCATATTGCTGATTATCACACATGAAATTGCATGCTGAGTTTGTTGTTTGGGGGTTTTTGTAACATTCAGGACATATGTTTCTCATCCCCTCCTCATCCCAAAAACAAGAGAGAGTGATTTCACATCCCTTTTTATGTATTAGCAGCTATGTTAAACATTAATAGCCATCACATTTTGCTTCAAGTGATGGGCTCCTGGGAGAAATCCTGATTAAAATCTCAGCAGGCAAATCACACCCATCAGTGGTAACAAGGTGGTCATACTCATAGCCTTCTCCTTACGGTGTGGACTGAAAAAATGAATCTGGATACAAAGTTCAGTACATGCCATGGCAATACAGCATTTGGAAGGCCTCCCTGAAGAGAAGGCTCTCTGAGACCCAAAATCATTGCCCCAGGCACCCTAGGAAACTGGTCTCGGTTAGAAGCCACTTGATTGTAACTCCTGATGAAGGTGAAGGTCACCAGTATTCCCTGTGAGAAACCATACAACTGCAGATTGAGCTGTCCTCCCACACAGAGCCCTCACTTGTCCTAAAACCACTCTACAGCTGATCCACAAGGCTTGCTCCGCAAGGGCAACCAAGAGAAAAATCTTCAAAATATAACCCTGGAAACAAAAATTCAATTTTCTATTGTACAGTAGACATTTCAGACCTGAAAAAGGATTTCAGTGCCTAGCAACTTCCCTACTTTTTCTCCAGATGAAAAATACTGTCTTTTCTCTCAAACCTTGCCTTTTTGCAGCCATTGACCTTCATGGCTACAAAAACATGAGCAACAGACAAAGAGATAGATTTAAGAGAAAACAAGAGGTAGAAAACAGCCTGGAGACTGGATGCACTTTATATAGACAGACAAAACATGTAAGAAGAAGAATTTCTTATTTTGCCACTCCTCAGGAAAAGAAATGGTGATCAGATGACATACTTTGTACTTTTCAGCTACACTGAAGAGCAAATACTTCAGACTTGATTTTTCGGTGTGCAGAACATCCACAACGCCTGATAAAATCATTTTAAGCCTCCACCAGTTCTCACCTCAGTCTGGCATTTATTTGAAGAAGAACTAAGCTTTATAGATAGGCTTTGAAATCCAGAGATAGTACAAAAAACAATGCCTTCAAAAATGGAGGTTTAAACCACCTGAATCTGTAGCCTCATTTTCAAGAAACGCAGCCAGCAGCCTTGACTGTAACAGTGACTGTTAACAGTGTGTGTTGAGAGCCAATGATGCAGCTCCTTTATATGTTTTGAAACCTCTCAGCTGAACCTGCCTGTAGGTGTATTGGTTTAAACATTTCCCCAGTTTACCTGGAAATCTTTGAACAAAAGACGCAATGAAGGATTTTATGTGTCAACTAACACACAGATGACTAACAGTCAACTGCTTGGACAACTACAAACTGTTCAACCTCATGGTTTAACCTTCTGCCTGCTGCCTGGCTGCGCTCATAGGTGTGAGCAGGCAGCAGATACAGTTGTAAACGACTAGCTAAGGTACACCTGGAAATCACTTGTCCTCCACTCAGCAATGTTATTGAGCCAGACTGAACTGGAGTGTCCCACTGTGTCCTCTGGCGTGGGTGGAGCAGAGGGTGTGCGTGTCTCTTCCAGCAGTTAGAATTTCTAAGGGAAAGCAGCCATGTGTAGCTGACAGAAGTTAAAAGCTGTAGATGGAAGCCATGAACCATTAGGTTGGATGAATTTGATTCTCTATCCTTTGCAAATTCCCCTAGTTAGTAAGTTTGCCACCTATGTCCTTCTGCTACATTAGCACCTCATGATCTCCCCTCAAATTTCTCAACATCTTAGATGCCTTGTCCCCAAGTCTTAAAATAAGAATCTGAAGAATCCACAAAGAAATCCTTCACTTTTAGTATATTGGACTGTCAAAGAATTCTTTTAGAATAGTAAAGAAATGTAGTATATTGGACAGTAATTGGACTGTCAAATCATTCTTTAAGAGCCTTGTGCTCTCTGTGAGAGGATCTCTCTCAGGGAACTCTGGGGCCCTAGGGACTTCGAGAGCTAAAGCCTGGAGCTGACAGAGCTCAGCCCAGCTCCTCTGATGTAACAAAGACAATCTGTATCTGGGCTGAAGAGACGCTCCTGATTGTGTGGAACAGAGCAAATGTTTGCATGCCAAAAAATAAATTTTAGAGCGAGCAGAACAAAGGATGCAGGACCATCTTTTACAACCATTCTCATAATAAAGCAGAACATTAGCAGTCGTTAGTCAAAATGGAAATGTGATTACATTAGGCTTTGTTAACCTTTATTAGGCTCTAAACACACAGTATGAAAACAACTTGCAGGTACAACCTCAAGTCTTTGATTAAACGTAGTGGTGTATTCCAGAAATACAAACTCAAAGCTGACTCCCACTCTTCCTGTAGGCTTTTCAGCAAATAGAAATACCCTGAAAAGAAGCATTGAATCGTGTGTTCTCACAAAATGAATAAGCACACAGACAGTTGAAGGACCTTTGCCCTGAATTTCCTGTGCTTAGATTATTATCCCAAAATGTTTTGGACACCTTCTGGTGCTGAGATTTTCAAGGCCAAGCAGCAAACCTGTCCCAGAGCCTCCCTTAACTCCCTGTTAAGAAAAAAGTCTGGAGCAAAAACGCCTGGATGGCTTTCAGAACTTCAAATAATACCTCTTTGAGCAAAGATTCACTTTTAAAGACTCTCAGAATTCTTAAGAATTTAAAATATGTATTCTTTGCTGTGTAAATAATCCAAGCTACATAGAAATAAGTGGAAATACAAAAATCTCATTTACTTAAGATATGTCCTTTAGCACTTACGGTTACAACACCCTATTTGTAATCATCCTAATCACTAGAGGTTCTGACTGCCCAAAACTCCCGTGTGTTAAAGTCAGATTAAACTTTTGAGCTGTACAGAATACTTTGTGATCATGCATCAGCTAAGCTGAGATGACAAGGCTGCACAAAATCTGAGTTAGCAAAAACACCATCCTGTGTTCCCAACCATTTGGCAGGCAGAAGCTTTAGAGCCACAACATGCAGGGCAGCTGATACGGCTCACCCAGTTGCTTTCCATCACACCCATTCTTCTCATGTTTGCTGATACAAGCTTTTTTGCCTTTCCTTTCCACACTTCCAGAAAAAAGTACAACAGCAGCTGCTGCACTAAGCGTGGCCAGTAGGGTCACGTAACTAATACACCCACCTGATCCTAGAGGACAGCTTCATCTCAGCATCGTGTCCTGGTGACAGTCACACTCCTTTCAAACCCCTGGAAAATCCTAACTCTGTGCCAGCCACAGACGACTCCTGAATGCCAGTACCAAGTGCCCCTCTGGAGCACTTGGCATTTGCTGTCCTACCTTCTCCAGATGTGTCCTCACAGTGAAGGATTTGTTCCACCGGCAGTGATGCCTGCTGCTTCTAAATAGTATCTATGTTATCGTTACCTCTCTGTTTATTTGTATGTGCGCGTGCCTGCAGGTATATATACATCTTGTCTACGTAACCCCAAGAGCTACTCCTAACCTATCAAGCACTGTAGTAGAAGCAAGAGGCAGGGAAAAAAAAACATATTGAGTAATGCCAGAAATTTTCTGAAGAGCCCAATGTAAAATACTTCAGCGAAGACATGAAGGTACAGGTCAGCCCATTGTGCAGGCTACCACCTGACTCACCGTCAGTTCAGTGGATGGCAGCTTCCGTGTTTAGTTAGCCATTCCATTAGTCAGAGCACAAAACTCCACATCTCTCCATAGAGCACTGACCGGGTAGAACAGGGAGATGCATTCAACTGTGTCTCAGTACATCTTAACAGGATTTCTGCTTTCACGTAAGAAAAAGCTCAGAAAGGAAATACCCTCAAAACCCCCACACCTTCTCAGACCAGATGGGGCCGTGGCAGTCTCTCCACTTCATCAATGACCAAATTATAACAATTTCTGAAAAGAGAACTTGCATTTGGAGGAAGTATACATCCTATGACAGAGACAGTCAAAACTATCCAGGAGTTATAGGAGAAGCCCCCAGGCTTCTGCACTGCAAGGATGACAAAGGGCTCAGAGGATTTTTCTTCCTGGCACTCTCAGAGGCATCAGCTAAGCCAGGTCCTGCTTTCTTTGCCATACAAATTGAAGAAGTGAACTATCTGGAGGTAAGCATGCTTCCCACTCACCACATATACATCATCCAGCCCCCCATTCTCCATTTCTGGTGGAACTTCTGAGTACTGGCACCTTGTTCCAGCTCAGGCAATGAAGGAGTAAGAGCAGTGTGGAAAGGATAAGGAAAAGGACAATGTGCGCTTACTAAGCCACCTGAGAACAATGGTAGGAGAAACATAATGGGAAATATTTCAGAGTATGAAGGAGCAGTGAGGGCAGCAGAGGAAGGCAGCAGCTTTCCAAGTTGTAAAGGCAAAGTGATGAGTGAAGAAAAGGACAGAATACGCTGGAGATTACTTTATTCCTAGGCCACATGGCAACAGCACATGGTTGAGAAGTTTGATCTAGCTGAACCAGGGGATATTCCCCTCCCTTACTTATCAAATAAGTGTTATCTGGCTTAATTCAGGGGTCTCACTGCACTGCCCTCTCCCCTCATCCCTTTCCCACAAAGCCAGCTATGTCCTGTTGAATCCATCACTACCTGAACTTTTGACACCATCTATTTGGGTTTCTTACTTGGCAATGAACAAACAGTGACAGTAACTGCACTGGCAGGAAGTTAATTTTACCAAGCTACACTGCTCCCACAAGCTTCATCAAACTGTCAGTGTTACAGAGTATAGCACTGACTGACTCATCGCCTCTTTTCAAACTGGGTGACTTGCTCATGTCCCCATCCTCTGATGGTCTTTTGTAGGAAGTAAACTTGTCCAACCTAAGGTAGGAGACAAGCAAACACACGTCACCATGACTTGCTTTCACGTGAAACAAGTTTCAGTTCTACAACATTGTGTTTCACCCTCCAGAATTAGGTTTAATTTTTAATGCAAACATTACATGACTTAGTGCAGATCCCTTCATTTCCAGAGAAGTGGAAGGGAATCTTCTGCAGCAAAGCTTCTCTCTCTACCAGTCAAAGCAAGCATCCAGCAAAGTGACTGCCAGCCATATTACCAACAGCAGGGACACAACTGAGGAATTACAGAGCTAAAAGTTCAATCCACCAGTGCTTGAGAGAAAAAGACAAATTCTATAGCAGAGTGCAATAGCAAACCTCCATCAGTATCAGATATGGGCACTGTGGTACAGCAGTTTCTGTGTAGGGCCGTAGAAAGAGCTTTGCTCAGAAACTTTCAAGAAAAAGAGCCCTTCTTCCAGCAGTGACATTTTAAATGTAAAATCAATGTTTTAAAAAAAAAAAAAAGTTATAGGCTTTGTTCTTTTTCCACTTTCAAATTTGAAAAAAATCTAAGTTGTTTTTTTTTAAAATGCACTAAGAGACCAATCTGTCCAACACAAAAGCATCCATTAAAACATCCCTATTTAAGAAAATAGAAGGAATAAACAATGAAAACAGACTAAAATTTTCAGTTCGGATTCCAGCAAAAAGAAAAACCTATACTCTAAACTTCCTTTCCTAATTTTACTTCCCTTTGTTTCTAACAAGCTCAATACTTCAAGGTAAAGACAGTCCTTCAGGAAGTCAGCCTTCCAGAGAAAAACAGCAAAGAAAACAGTCTGAAAAATAAATAAAATTGTGCAATGTTTATGAATCACCTACAGAAAGGCTATAAAAACTGTCAAGATTGGCTGTGACCTGC